AGCAGTCAAGTATACACTTGGCGAAAATACAAATTGTAAAGAAATTTCATCTAATACCAATAAAAGAATTTATTGTAATGGTCCTCTTAAACCAAATACATGGTATCATGTTAGAATGCGGGCATTTACTCGTGGTGGATATTCTGATTCTACAACTTTTTTAATAAAAACCAGTAAAGTGTTTATTGATTCTTAAAGTTATTTGTATTTTTCTTCGTTTAGTTGCTTCGATATTGGTATTGCAAAAATTATACATAATTAAATTTTATTGTATTCATTAAATATTTTAAATTATATTAGATGCTGAAATAGATATCGTACTTGTTAGTGGAGTTGTTTTTGGTATTTTATTCTTGGGAATTTTATCAACAATAATGTTATTATTTCGCAAATGTTCAATTCGTGCGTAAGTAAATCTTATTTTTTGTTTAGTTCAACATTGTCACAGTAAAAATAATATTCATCAAAATATAAAAATTTAAACATTTAAACATTGTAACAAAGTATATATTGTGGCAAAAAATTTACATAATTAATAATTTAATGATAATTTATACATGTTTTTTAGAATATTACGACGATTTCTACATTCTGACATGTCTGGATCACCAGTTCCTACACCTTTTTCAAAAAAGAAATTTATAACTCATTGTCAACAATTTATTGATAATCCTGGAAAATTAAGCAATGAATTTCAGTTACTTCAAACTCTTAGTATTGATTTACAGATGCCAACCAATACTGCTTGTTTACAAGCCAATAAGAAGAAAAACAGATATTCTGATATTTTACCATGTAAAAATATTGATTTACATATTATAAAGATGTGAATTATATATAAAATGAAAAAAAATGCTTTATTAAATTTATATTTTCAGATGATTTTTCAAGAGTTAAGCTGGAAGTAATTGAAAATGATCCTAATACTGACTACATCAATGCATCTTTTATTAAGGTGAGTAACCATAAAATTATTTGTTTACACTAAATATGAATTATATTATGTATTAAATATGAATTAAATAGGTATACACTATTTTCAGGGCTATAGTGGCGAAAATGAATATATAGCTTGTCAAGGACCAAAAGAAGAAACAACATTTGATTTTTGGAGAATGATAGAGCAATATGACATCAATGTAATAGTTATGTTGACTGAGTTAGTTGAAAAAGACAAAGTAAGATTTTCGCACTAAATATATTTCAATCTCGTTTAACGCATGAATGTTAAAAATTGATACCTTTATAGGAGAAATGTCATCAATATTTTCCAACAATTAGGGAAACTTTTAAGTATGAAAATTTGACTATAAAATGTATAAGTGAATTAGATTATAGATCTTATACACAAAGAACGCTAGTATTACAAAAGGTATAAGATTTAAACTTAAGTTACAAGATTTAATAAAATACATTTGTACTTATATATATTAATTTAATTCTCCTATTTATAAATAATAAATATAGGAAAACAAAAAAAGAAATATAACACATTTACATTTCAAACAATGGCCAGATCATGATGTCCCAGAAGATTTTGAACCAATAATCCATTTTTGCCAGATTGTACATCGTAATGTTACTGGTAATAAAGGATATATTGTGATTCATTGCAGGTAAAAATATATGAGTTTAGTATAATAGTTAATAATATCATATATCTTGATGTTTTAATATTATTCAGTATTGTTATTACTTTACATTTTGAATTTATTTAATATTATTACTATTTCGCTATTTTATATAAATTTGTTATATATATATATATATATATATATTTTATATGTATATAATACATATTTTTACAGTGCAGGAATTGGTAGAACTGGCACTTTAATAGCAATAGATATAATTTTACAACATCTTCGAGATAATAAAAAATTGGATGTGTTTGGAACAGTATATAGATTACGACGTGATAGAATAAATATGGTGCAAAAAGAAGTAGGAAAATCCAAGATCTTTTATATTAATATTAATTATGTACTCATAAATTATATATCTACAGACTCCGACCGAATAACACGCAAAAATAGGCGTGATTCCTTGTGGAAAAATAAGGAAAAATATAGAATAAAATTGTTTTACTCTCGATTTAATTTTTGAAAAAATCGAGTTTGAAAATTCGTCAAATATATTTGAATATGACTAATTCACATGATGAACAGGATTAAATAATCGATAGGAAATCATTCCACGTGTGAAAATAAATCAAAAATGCAGAACAACACTTTTTTACGGGATACTTTGTTTCCGAAAAAAATAGATTTGAAAATTTATCTTACGCGTGTAGTAGGTCAATTTTTAACTAAATGTGTTCAAACTTTACATTATTTTATCCTGTCCAATCCGAAATTTGTCATGTTGAAGCATATAAATTTCACAAATTTTCAACCTCGATTTTCTCGAAAACTAAGCCGAGAATGAAAAAATTTTATTCTATACCTTTTCTTATTTTTCCACAAGCAGTCACATTATGCCCGCTTTTACGTGTTATTCGGTTGGATCCTGTATATCTAATACTATTAATATTTATTATATTTTTAGAGTCAATATGCTTACATATACAATTGTACAAAGCAAGTATTAAAAAATCCCTATTGTTTAAAGAATTGTAAGTTTGTCATGCTTATTACAAACAAGTTTATTTACTATTTTTTTCGTTTTAAATATTGAAATTTTTGTCTTTAGATAAACCACCACCTATGAATCCAGTGTACGAAAATACCTCCAGGAAAATAAGAATAGTACCAAGTTCAAATATAAATCTACACTAGTCACAACTTTGAGGTAAGCATGTAAGAAGTAATTTTAAATATTTATTTTTGTTTTGCACAATATTGAAATTTATATGTATAAAAAAGTGGTAGTATTTTTTCTAACATAAAATGAAGATGTATTATTTAATATAGAAGATCAATGTAATAAGTAATGTATGTACGTATAAGTACAACTGTAATGAAACATGATATTTTGTATTTTGTTTATAGTAATATGTGAATCAAATTTTATTCTTGCAATACATAAATTTAATTCTTTTTTATTTCTATGGAATGCATATGATAATATATTTTTAAAACAGACAGAACATTTTAAGGAAACTATAATAATAACATTTCAATATAAGGTTGTAATTGTTTAGTTTAAACTGGCTATATGACTTAAGGATTACAATAGATTTAATTAATATAAATGTCTAATCTTTTAATTGTTATTCAAGGTATAAGCTACCTACCTACCATTGCTTGACAAAAGTCCTACATGAGAAGTGCAATCTTCCTTTGAGTGTAAGTGTTATTTAAATATTTATACATATCAAAAATGAATAATATACACAAAACCAATAAAAATATGTTTTCAGGATTTAATTATCTAGTCTTTCTTCACTAAGCTATGATTTATTGACTTCTTCTTGTATAGAAAATAAATTAACCAATTTATACAAAACTATAATCGCTATTTACAGATAAATGTAAAATAATAAATGTACAAATATACTTATTATTTTTACAATAATTTGCATAAGTACATATATGCTATATATAACTTTATATTTATTTGTAATTATGCCATATTTTTATTTATTGATGTAAGTTCAGTTATATACCAATATTTTCTCTCTGATTTATACATTAATATAAAATATTTTTGTCAATAAAGATAATTAATAACGATATTTTGTAGAATAATCTTTTGGAGAAACAACTAAACCTCTACCTTTTCTAGCACCTCTGTAGACTGTCTCAATGATATCAATCATTTCTTGTTTGTCCTCTAATGTCCAGTTTATTTTATTATTATTTCCAGTTCCCAAATCAATCATTATATGTTTATTTCGAAAGAAAAACATAACTGTACAAGGATCATACAATTCATACCTGTAAAAAATCATATTTATATCTCTCTGAAAATGTATATCTTTAATAGTTTAAGACAATAAAAAGATATCCAGTTTACTGACTAAAATAATATTATCAATAATGATTTAAACAATATTTTATAAAAATATAAAATAACATTTTAAGATTTTTAATTGCATATTAAACCTTACATTTTATTAAAATCAGGTACTTGAGTAATATCAACTAGATAAATGACAGCAAAGTTTTTTACTTTTTCAGCAATATTATAAAGAACTTCATCCATTTTCATACACATTGGATCCCAGTCATGACCAAATCTAATAACCTAAAAAATTTTGTTTTTAGTTACAATTTCATATATAGATAGTCGCTATAGATAGTAAAATTACGAGGTAAAATTTCATCCATGACAGCCATTAAAAGTTAATACAAATCAATTAGAAACTTACAACTACTCTGTCTTCTTCAGATAATATTGCCTGATCCACTTGCCATCCATTGTGGAGATGTGACAACATATAAGACATTGTTTTCTGTTTATCAAATACAGATCCAAGAAAAATGAACAAATGTAATGTAACCTATATTTTTATATTCAAGTTTAGAACACTTTTTATTGGTAACAAATTCACAAACAAAAAGTGTAGAATAACAATATATTCTACAAAATCATGTAATAATTATACATTATTTACATGGGTTTTATCATATAATCAAGATTATGGAATAAAAGTTTCTTTTAACTTCTCACAATACGATCAACACCACCGCTATAATACGTTTATTTGCGAAAGTTAAAATTTACCACCCATTACCTCATTGCCACCAACATATTAGCAATAATTTAAAAAATCCCTAGTTTCATTTTAATCTCTTTAATTATATCTAGTTATATAGTATATTAATATTACAATATAAGATTATTAGATTCTTTTTACAATTTCTATCGTATATCTATTTTTTCATATATATTAAATAATTACAATATCTATAAATTAACAATACAATTTCAAAGTTTTATTAAGATTTAAATGTTTTAAATCTGACCTATTTTTCCGATAATGGCAAGAAAAATTATTTTATTAGTCGGTGAAATATGGTTTTCTATCACTGTTATTAAAAATTTGTAATTTTGATTGATTTAGTAAAATATCTAAATATGTATTAAGATAACTAAACTTAATATATTTTAGATTTAAAAATATCTCGGCTTTCTATAGGCACATCATACACATGTTGGCGATAGGCAATAAAGGGGTATAAATGTCAACGTGTACATATCTTGTGTGCATACTTACCATTCCTTGTTTTCTCTTTTTTTATTTCAGTAAAAATAAAGAAAAAGGTAAAATGAAAGTATTTATATATTTGAAAAAGAACATTACAGTTAGTATTATGTATTACTGTAGATATAAATCCTATGCACATTTTATTTTTATTGCTAAATATAAAATTTTTAATACATACTTTACTTAAATATTAATCGTATATCACATAATCATAAGGAATATACTCGTTTAACATAAATCTTTTATACTCTGAATAATTGGTATGTTTTATACTATTTCATCTACTATATATTTTTTCTTAAATTACAATATGTATTGTGTATTGTTACATTGATTTATAATTATTGCATTATTTCTTTAAACGTTATACTGAACATGAATTAAAAAATCAAGATTACATTTGACAAATAGTATTAAGCTTTAAATATGTTAATGTTTTGTAAATATATCTATAATTTATTATATATAATCAAAGATTTCTGATTAAATTATATATTTAATACACATGCATATACATATGTTCAACAATTTTTTAATAAATTTTTTAAAATGTAAAACATTAATAACACTACATTTATAACTTTAATAAAACATCTTATTTTGTAGATGAAATGATCCATTAGCCTTTATATTATAAAAATTGTTATAAAAAACATTATATGATGGAATCACAACAACGTAAGTCTATAATTTTAATATAAGAAATTGTAATAAATAAATTTAACATAAAATTAAATTTAGTATGTCTAATGGACTAACTAATGTATTGATTCCTTAATCATTCTCTGATATCTTTTTCTTAATTTATTTTACAGGAAGTGCTCAGACACTAAAATACATTAGTTTAATTACACTTACATTACAAAATGCCCTGGTTGGGCTTAGTATGCGTTATGCACGTACAAGATCAGGAGATATGTTTCTTTCATCAACTGGTATATTACATTCTTTATATAAATTAAAAATTGTATTTATTATTTTTATTACATTCATGTAAGTTATTAATGTATAGTAATTAAATGTTATTCCAGCGGTAGTTATGGCGGAGGTTGTTAAACTTTTAACATGTCTAATATTAGTTCTTGTTGAAGAAGGAAACTTTCCAAAATTTTTTGATGCCCTAAAGTCAACAATCATAAAACAGCCTGTTGATACTCTAAAAGTATCTGTGCCATCACTTCTATATGTTGTACAGAATAATCTTTTATATATATCAGCATCTAATTTAGATGCAGCAACTTATCAGGTATATCCAATACTTAGGTATACATTTGATATTTTTCACCTATTAATACTATTTATTACATGCTTTTTATACATACTATTCCTCAGGTAACATACCAATTAAAAATTTTAACAACAGCATTTTTTGCTGTGGTAATACTACGAAAGTCTTTAAAGAATACTCAGTGGGGAGCTCTAATATTATTAGTCATAGGTGTAGTATTAGTACAACTAGCACAAAGTTCAGATACTGCTTTACCATCTGGTATAGAACAGAACCATTTACTTGGATTCTCAGCTGCCTTAAGTGCATGTTTTTTATCAGGGTTTGCAGGGATATACTTCGAAAAAATACTAAAAGATTCAGATATATCAGTATGGATGAGAAATGTTCAATTAAGTTTACTATCATTACCTTTTGGATTAATTACATGTTTTGTAAATGATGGTGAAATTTTACGAAAACAAGGTTTCTTTTTTGGCTATGATCTATTTATTTGTTATTTAATTGTACTTCAAGCAGGTGGAGGTCTTATTGTTGCAATGGTAGTTAAGTATGCAGATAATATACTTAAAGGTTTTGCCACCTCTTTAGCCATTATTATTTCTTGTATAGCTTCTATATATCTTTTCGATTTTAACTTGAGTTTCCAGTTTTCTTTAGGTGCAATTTTAGTAATATGTTCGATTTTTATGTACAGTCACCAACCAAAATCGACATTTATCGATAAACATTCTCGAAGTGATAAAGTTTAATATAAATTAAACTAAACTTATTTGTAAGATGAAAGTGATATTTCCCAATTCAGCAAGTGTTTTAACATGTTCATTCAACAACATAATTTAATACATTTCTTCCATATAAAATGGGAATTTCTCTCTCATATGGTTTACATATTAGTATATATGTTATCACATACTTTATCAGTATTCTATTATACTTTTTAACAAGAGGTATAATGGAATTGCTCAAATACATAGAATCGATCGAAGAATAGAATCAATAAAATTGATTTCCTAATATTAATCATGATCAATAATATAATTAATTGATAGTTCAGAATATTTTCATAAGAAAATACAATTTACTAATAGACCATATGCTAGAGAGAAATAAGAATATATAAATACATTATTGAATAAATTCTATGTTAAAATTAACTAAGATCAAGTAAGCATATATTTATATCAAATTAAAAAATTACATACATCAATATATAAAAATATTCCATCTAAAATATATCTTAAAAATTGAGATATATTTTTAGAGTATTATATACAAATAATTTTAATTAGAATGCATATAAAAAACAATAAGATTGTTTCCTTTTAATTTATATATTTTTATACAATGTTACAATGTTTGATTATAGATATAAGTATACATATGTATCAACAAAACTGAATTCACTATTATTGTACTTAAGTTTTAATAAATATGTCTTATAATGCATACGCAACTTATATATTAAAATATATCTATTTACAATTTTAAAATATAATGTAAATTGTAGACTAAAAGAGTAAGGAACAAGATGAAATAATTTTTAATTTTGTAATGCATCTAAGCTATAAGGGAAAATACGTTTGGTTACAAAAAAATCAACATATGTACTTCTGTATAGATCTTATCTCTCATCATTACTAAGGTCATTACATATAATAAATACTGATCTCAAATATTCAAATTGTAAAATATGAAAACCTAGAATTAAATAATATTTATATAAATATTACTATATTATTAAAATTATAAATCAATGGAATTTTGTTTAAATACTTGAATAATATCGATTTCAGATACAAAGGATCGATAGTAAAAGTTACTTACGTAATGCAAATAGTGTTGGAGAGAATTAAGCGGTAGTGTCATGCAAGTTGGCAGGCGTGTACGGTATCGTTGAATGCTGAATCGCTCCAGTGTAAGAAGCAGAATTTTCGATTTCCAGTCGGTATATAAAAGTAACGATAAGAATGAGTGAGCCTCAATCGAAGAAAGTCAAGATGACGAACTCATTGACACAACTAAAAGAAATCACAACGATTGTCGCCGATACCGGTGATTTTCAAGGTAAGTAATAAAATAAGTTTTAAATAAATGGTTTTGCACCTAATACACATACGGTCAAAGGTGAAGGTGACTAAAAAAAAGTATGGTAGGGGTACACTAATAGCGCACTTTTAATTTATCTTTTAAACATCTTTTTACTTGAAGAATAAATATTTTTTATATATCTACTTTATTGTACATTCATTTTATAAATGCATATATGCATAAGCACTATAATAGAATACGCAATACTTCATTAGAAAGCAGATATTAGTTTAAAGTTTAGATTACGTTATGCATGCAAGAGTAGGGGAAATTACAAAATCTTCCGATCTTACGATTGCTTTTTTTTTAATAGTTTCATAATAATGCTATTTATACTTATCAATATTTTATAAAAATGTAATAAAACTAAAATGTAACTAAATTATTATTCTTTACCATCGTACATAAATAAATATATAAATGTATAAAATATATTTTATATTACAAAATACATTATGTGATTTTATTGTAATCGTTATATCATTAAAATCATTGTATTATATCATAATGAATAATTTATAACATATGTTAAAAAACCAAATTAATTACATACAATTTTAATTATGTATTTAAAATGTAAAATAAGTAGTTTTAGTTTGATTCATTCTATTATATTCTATTATAAACCTTCACATTATAAACCATTCTTTTTAATACTATGTAGGTAATATTTTGTTGCATTAAATAGAAAAATTTCTATTTATCATGTAATGTAATCCATAAGATATGTATGTATGTATCTATTATCTTTGACCTATAGATGTCAGTGATAACTCTTGGAATATATATAAATAAGTAAATATATATAAATGTCTTACACTAAAATATATGTTATTACAAACTAAAATGAATGTATCATCTTATTACCATATAAAATTTTTATTAATGCATTAATTTATTATCTCATTGTCTTTAGCTATGGAGCAATTTAAGCCAATAGATGCAACTACAAATCCTTCTTTGATCCTTGCTGCAGCTAATCAAAAAAAATATGCTCACTTAATAGATAAAGCTGTACAATATGGAAAAAAGTCTGGATCGTAAGTATATTATAATATTAAATTAACAAATTGAAAGTATAGTTATTCTAGTAAATATTTTAAATAAATGTGCTACCTTTACTATTACTTAAATGCCCATTATTTTACAAATTTTTAATATATATTAAATTTGTTGTCTTATTAAAATATTAGTACTAAATTATGAGATATTTATTTTAACACAATAAAGAAAAGTATATTTTTTAATACTAATTTGTAAAAATTAGTACACTGAATTTTTTATAGTTTTTATATTATTATTAATACTAAATAACTATTATAATTAAAAAATATATAAATGCTCGTTTTAGTAGATAGATCTGTAGATATAGAATCTATAGTACAGTAAAAGTTAATTTAAGACATTATAGGAATTATAAGGGATAAAATGATATACGTGAACAGAATAGTATACATATCAAGAAATATAAAGGAATTAAAGTAAATCTGTATGAAAATGTAGGAAATTCTATGAAGATTAGTATTAGGAATGGGAGAATATTAAAATTTATAAAAAAGAAAAATAAAAGGAAGTGTATGCAGCAAAAGGTATGAAAGAAAAGAAGTATTCACTTGAAATTATAACTGTGGTAATAATTAATATGATAATTTTGTGATTTACGTGGCTTCTTAATTAGAGAAATGGGAAACTTATAAACTAATGTATTTGTTTCAGTACTTTGACAGAACAAGTTGAAGCAGCTTTAGACATTACATGTGTTCTTTTTGGTAAAGAAATCTTAAATATTATACCTGGTAGAGTTTCCACGGAGGTAGATGCTAGGTTGTCTTTTAACAAAGAAGCTAGCATTGAGAAAGCCAAACGGTTAATTGCTTTATATGAAGAACTTGGTGTAAATAAAAATCGTGTGTTAATTAAGCTTGCTTCTACATGGGAAGGTATTCAAGCAGCAAAGTAAGCTGATCTCATTTTTATTATCAACCAGCTGTTTAATAAAAAGATCAAACTTAAAATAGTAAAATTCATTTGTGTATAGAGAACTGGAAGAGAAATATGGAATCCATTGTAATTTAACGCTTCTATTTTCTTTTGCTCAAGCGGTTGCATGTGCAGAAGCAGGTGTAACTCTCATATCACCGTTTGTTGGCAGAATTTTAGATTGGTAAGTTCAACAATGTTTTTTATAAGTATTAAAAAACTGTACAAACGAAGTGATTTGTTAGGTATGTGGCAAATACAGATAGAAAGTTGTATGATTCTAAAGAAGATCCAGGTGTTATATCTGTAACTAACATTTTTAATTACTATAAAAAGTTTGGATATAAAACAGTTGTTATGGGTGCCTCATTTAGGAACATTGGTAAATATAAAAATTAATATTTATTAGAGGGTTAAGATTATTTTAAAATTAATTATAGTTACTAAAACTAGAGGTTGTAATAAAAATTATATTATATGATTTTTTCATTAAGGTGAGATAAAAGAATTAGCTGGTTGCGATTTTCTAACTATAAGTCCCAAGCTATTAGAAGAATTGGAAAAGAACAATGAACCAATTCGCAGAGTACTTACAGTAGATGCAGCAAAGAAATCTGATCTTCAAAAGACCAGTTTGAGTGAAGCTGAATTTAGGTGGCTTCTTAATGAAGATCAAATGGCAACAGATAAATTAAGCGAAGGTATTCGAAAATTCACAGTGGATATTCGCAAATTGGAGAAGCTATTGCATGCAAAGATACAATCTTAAATATAACCAAAATACTTTTCTTAAACATACTTATGTAACAAATGTTTTGTCGTAAATATTGTACACAACAATACTAAAAAATAATAATTATTTCGAATGATAAGTTTTCAATATGTAATACATTCCACTCTTTGTATCTCCACAATATGTGAACAATGTACAAATGAACATAGAAATTATACTTTTAACATTAAATAAAAATGGGATATTAAGAAAGTGCATACTTATAAAGATTTATTTCAAGAGTTTAGTTTATTTATAACTGATAAAGTATATCAGGACACCAAAATAATTGCATGTAATTATTTAATTAGCTAGGAAATCGAAATAATACTGTATAGAGAAGATTTCTGAGAATTAAAGCATTAATTTAATCCTAGAATAGTTAAGCAATTCTCCTTATTGATCGAAAAATTTAATTTTTTAATTTTGTCATAAAGAGGTTAATTCAGTTATTCCATCGTGACATGGTTATAATATTTCAGAGCCTATGAGTATTGTTCACGTTAATTATTCCTTTTATGATCCTTTTAAAAACAGCGGAAGGAAATGATTATTGAGAACTCGATTTTTAACGGTAAGAAATAACAAATGTTTTATTAAGTAAGGAAACGAACTAAACAACTACAAGAATTACATTATAAAAAACACAAATGCTATGAATTCAAATTAAACATCGGAAATGGCCTTTTCCGTTTGAAGTATTGCGCCCTAATATTCGTTTCTACGAATGTGTTTATAATTGTTTGTATAATTCACGGTCGTACCATGGTAGATTCCAACGATCATGTAAACAGATCTCGACACTCGCTAGGGAATACTATTCAAAAATTGTATCGCGTCTAATCGTAAAACATTAATATGGACGGTCAACAAAGTTCGCATTCTTACGAGATAGACACAAAAAGAACATTTCTGTTTCTATCTTAGACACTCATAGCATATCACGATGCGTAGAACGAGAATCTTCCTGCAACGATGATTCGATGTTAATTTTTCATAACTAGTCATGACTCAATTTTCAGATACTCAGTTTTCCCTAGGCTTTGGTACATGAGTGTCGAGACCTATTTATATGATCATGACATAGTCTATAATTTTGCATCGTGCGGTAAATATGTAAATATAACACCGATCAATGAACAGCGTCGGTGTGCATGTCTGATTAGACAGGGACAGAAGCAGTCTCTTAGTAGCGATCTCTTTCTATTCTCATATCGTATCCACTTACATCGTAACATATGACTCGCGTAGTTGTATATCTCAATGATCACTTGTAGCTCTTCTGTATAATCACGGTCTCAAAATTTCAAATTTATAAACACGAGCAGAATGCTCTAGCACTCCATGGGCACGACAACCAAGCTTAAATTCCATAAATTTCTGAACTGCCCACATGTGCGAGCCCCTGTATCACAGACCCGCCAATTGAGCGATTTTTAAAATTTCCTTATAACTAAGAAACCAGGGAGACTATTTAAATAAAACCAGATAAAGTTTGATAAAACCAATCTCAATTAATTCTTTAGGTTCTAAACTTTCATTTGAGCCCTCATAAGTTAAGAAATTTTGTCTAGGAACCAAAAAATTTTAATTTCTTAATTTTGCCACTTATTGATTGAATGTAATTAAATGTTATGTATGTATACTTCAGATTCAAATATTTCAGGATTAAATAATGGGCACGATATGTTTAAGGTTGTTGAATTGTTTTTTTTTATAATCTACAAGGATATTGAAGAATAAATATATAGTATAAATATATGTATAGACCTTATAATTTCTTTAAAAAGTGACTATGAAAGAAATAGTTATAGTTTATTTTCTCCTTCGGCATTCATCGAGTAGGTATTTATATTTTTGTCTTAAAAATTTTTTAAATTTTGTCTTCTGTTTGTGAAAAAAGATTATTTTTAGCGTTGCATGTGATCCTTGAAATACTATAATTTTGTCCTGAGAAGTTTTTTTATATAACAATAAATAAGGCAAATATTTAGGTGATCCCATTTAGCTAGGCCACTCTATATATTCTAAAAATACGAAAATAAATATACGTGATTATGAAGTGATTATGATGTATGTTATCCTGAAAGTAAACCATTAAATTAAACTAAACTGTATGGAATGATTTTGAATTTTACCCTAACCTTGTTCAATTAATCGAAATTGCACTCCAACGTTTCTAACCTCGTTTTATTATTAATCAAATAATTATATTTGTCAGGTTGATATTAAATTTTCCAAAATGCCGAAGAAAAAGACAGGACAAAGACGGAAAGCTGAAAAACAAAAATTAAGGCAGAAAGAAATTAGAACCGCTAAAGATCAATTAGATTTAGCTAAATTTCCATGCAATGCAGTAATGGTAAATATGATATATTATAATGTACATCAGTATTATCATAATTTAACCCTTTTACAAATAAATACCGAAAATAAATCCCAATTTCACAAATATATTTTTTATATCATAAAATTTCAAATATATTAATTATTAATATTATCAATTAGTAGAAAATATTTAAAAATAGCCTATGTCTCATAAGCAGAGTATCCGTATTTCTATATATCACACTTATATCTAATTTTTAATAAAGGAATGTGACAAATGTAGCAAGAAACAAAAAAGTAGAGCCTTCTGTTATTTCTGTCAAAGTGTACAACGATTACCAATGTGTGCTCATTGTGGAAAAATAAAGTGTATGCTAAAAACAGGAGATTGTGTTGTTCGTCATCCTGGTGTGTTTAATACTGGATTGGGTATGGTGGTAAGTACATGTAACTTACATATAATTAAATATATATATAATTACGTATAGTTATAATAATTAAATATATTATACAGTATAATAAACTATGAGAGTATAAGTAACAGACATAAATTTTTAAAGGGAGCCATATGCGATCATTGTGAAGCATGGGTTTGTCACGGAAGACGTTGCCTTACAACTCATGCATGTATATGTCCATTGATAGATGCAATTTGTCAAGAATGTGAAAGAGGTGTATGGGATCACGGTGGTAGAATATTCCGATGTTCATTTTGTAATTGCTTTCTTTGTGAAGATGATCAATTTGAACATCAAGCATCATGTCAGGTTTTGGAGGCAGAAAGTTTCAAGTGTAAGAATATAAAAGAGATAAAAATATAAGTATAAATATATTTTACATATAATTATATTAGTGTCATAATTTTTGGTTTATTGTAAACAATTAATATTTTTAGGTCAATCATGCAATCGATTAGGACAATACTCTTGCTTGAGATGTAAAACATGTTATTGCGAGGATCATATTAGAAGAAAAGGGTTTAAGTATGAAAAGAACAAACCTATACCTTGCCCCAAATGTGGTTTTGAAACATCTCAAACAAAAGATCTTAGTATGTCAAGTAAGTAATAATAATAATAATAATAATAATAATAATTAGTTCTAATACTACTTTTTTATATCTACATTTAATTAAAAAATTATAATTTTTAGTAATTATTTTCAAAATTATATTTTCTATTCTATTGTAGCAAGAACTCATAAATTTGGTAGACAAGGTGGAACATACGAATCTGATGATGAAGGTGAATATAATTATTATGGTAAAGGTCTTAAGTATTTTAACGTTTACTTATTGTCTTTATAGCCTGCTGTATATCATCTTTTTTACAGGAAATCAATCACAAGACTATATTCCTGAAAATCATACATCTTATCAGGAAGATGAAGATGAAGATGATGATAATGATGAGGATGCTGATGATAATGATGATGACGATGATGACGATGATGACGATGATGATGACGATGATGATGATGGTGATGATGAAGGAGAAAGAGAGCGGGTAAATGAGTTAATAAGTGAAAATCAAGAAAATTGCGATAATAAATTGCATCAAAGTATTAATAAAAACGTTTAGCAAAAATTTAAATTTTGCAACTAAATGTAAAAATGGAAAAATAAATATATCACTGTTGTCTTTATAACAAATTATAACATGCTATTTTTTAATATGAAAAATTGTATTTCAAATATCGATACGTATAGGATAAAGCTAATTGGGAAACCTAATAGTTCCTGACTATTAAATAATAATACATGAAAATATTAAATTTATTATACATCGGCTTTATGTAAAATAATTAGAAATTTTACAAAGCAATGAATATGGATGTATTGCATATACAGAAATGTATGTTACACACGCAATGAGGTATATTCAGATGGAAATGCAAAAGTATGAGAGCCAAAGGCATTAACACTTGGCAAAAGTCCAGCATTTGGAATAATATTCCATGATAATGTCAATGTTACATTCTTATTTCCCCTAGAAAAAGAAGCAAACATTAGGTTATTTTATAAAAATGTATAATTTCTTCGATTAAAAAGTTCTACTTATAATTATTAGAAAAAATTACCTTAAACCATTACCATCATCCCAGAAGTAATATTTTGTATTCATATTTTTAAAATCAAGTACTGCATTATCCCCGCGCAGTACTATTTTATCCCATAACACTACCTAGGATACAAAAACATTTTAATATAATATACAAAATGAATATGATTATAAACTAAAAATATTCCTATATTACAATACTTATGTTATACCTGATTAAAACCATTATTTTCTGTTTGATACTCTGCTGTGAGATATAAAAATAATTGTTTAACATTCCAATTAAATAATGGAGTCAGATGTATATATACTAATATATGTAAAGAAATGATATATTTTGTGATCTTATATTATTATAAAAAGATAAAAATTAATATAAATATAAACAAAAATAAATAGAAAGGCTTGATAAATATTCCTATTGATATAAAGAAGCTTAAAATATAAGAAATCAAAATATTCAATAGTATAATAGATAAATATTTATATAATAAAAAAGGATATCAGTTTGTAAATCAAATGTTAAGTATCCCAAGTCATTTTTTTCTCTTGAAGCACTGTAATCTGCTACATTCTTCCTACAAAATAAAACGTGAATAATTATTAATATATTTATTTTCATAAACAAGTAAAGAGTATTTTAAACATTTATAAATAAATATTAATAATTTTAACCAACATGTTTATATTATATAGTTCTTCATAAGGTCTTCCATAAATTCAAATGATATTCAAATAATATTTTCATAATATATCAGGTAACATTTTGCAAAAAAATTTATATCACGTCGAAATAAGTTTTATATTATATTACAGTAGATACATAATCCAGTAATGAAAAAGTCAGATATAATAACACATAATTTGAGATGAAATATCGTGAATAAATAAGTTTATTCTTTTCCTGAATTTACTCTTATAATATCTGTAAAATAAATTCACTATACTTACACAACTACTTTTACAGTATTTAAAGTTGCATTTGCTCTGTAATCAATAAATACAGTAGAGAGAAAACAACAAAATGTTAGACACGCCGAAACAGTCAAAGTATATGCCACAATAGCATTACTGCGCGTAAAAACGGTATGCATTATTACGTTTTAATATCGATGATTAGGGTATATAAAATTCGTATTTAATAAATCAGTTAATCGAATCATGCATCAAAATATTTTAACCAAAATCATCGTCACCTCGATTTCGATTTTCAACGTCAGCACTTCGACACAATGGAACACCGGGTTGGTGTTCGAAAATATATCGAATAATGTACCGTGTTCACAAATAAAGTAAATTTTACTTTAACAGTCAATGTAAGTTTACTCAAATTACGTAAATTTACTTATTTACTGTTTCCATTTTACAGAAATGCTTACAATACATTCTATTATTACATTATTACATTCTATTATTACATTCTATTGTTTAAATTATATCTTTATTAAAATCCATATTAGCTTCATAAATAAATGAGACTTCATAGATAAATAAGAGCATTAACATGTAGAAAATAAATTTCATATAGTGTGTTTATAAGAGCAAATTGTAAAGAATATCAATTCTTTTAAAAATGATTGATATAATTATCACATTTCTAATAATGTGAATATATGTATTCATGTATAATAATTAGTATTCATGCATATACATTGAATTGGATTACTGGAATATAAAGAATCTAATTGATGATCTAAGTCGTTCCTTGTCTGGTGTGAATATATGCACAAATACACATAATAGTTTACTTTTTTATCTGCAGCAACTTCAAGGAAGTGGAGATTACTATGCAACATGTTTATGTGGAATGTGTAATGTATTGTATGAAAGAAAATAAATAATTTGTCTTAAGAAAGGAGTTGAATGCGTTGGATATGTCGCATTTGGTAAGTAATTAAATATTACTAAAATATTTTTATGATTATTTCTAACTTCAAAACATTTTCTTCTCATGTAATTAACGAGATAGATGTTAAGATTCGCATCATAACATTTTTTAAATTGTTTATTTTTTAACATGATTTTCGCTATAATGTTATACTAACAAACATATATGTTTTTAAATTAAATTATCTGCAAGAAAATTCTTAAAAATTGGTGACGATAATTAATTGTTTACTTATTAGATTATATATTAACAATATAATCATTAACATTGAATAAGAGTTCTTCTTTTTATATCCTATCTAATGTTTACATTAAATCTTGAAACATATTATATTTTGAGACATTAATTTTTAAATTTAATATCAACCTCATAAACACTAAAATATATACATGTTACATTGCAATGACATTTGCATTAAAATTAATTTGACTTATTTTATTTCAGAATAAAAAAGAATGGGTTGTGTCAATAGTCGAACAGATATTAATGATTTACATCCAAATGTTTTTCAAGTGACGAATGTAGATGATTTAGGTAATTTAATTACACCTGGACGTTTAGAAGTTACAGAAACTGATATAATACTTTACCAACGTGGTAAACAACCTATTAAATGGCCATTACGATGTTTAAGGCGATATGGCCATGATGCTGAAATTTTTAGCTTTGAATCAGGAAGAAGGTGCTCTACAGGACCAGGCATTTATGCTTTTAAATGTCGTAGAGCTGCACATTTATTTAATCTTGTGCAAACAAATATTCAGGTTTGTTTAGTTTTTATAATATTAAATGTAAAAATATGCATATGAGTATTTTTCAAATAAAGTTTATTATAGGTTTGTAATAATAGTGGAGATGATACAATATCCAGAGAACTTCCAGTTGCTTCTCATTCTGTTCCTACAGTAACAAGAGTGACAATACCAGTTGAGCCTAACTATTTGGATCTCATATTAAATAGAACTAATAATCACATGGGTCCTAGATTTGCACATAATCAACAAAACGGAGTTGGAAGATTAGATAGTGTGGGAAGTAGCACTGGTCTCATGTCATCCCAAGGAAACATAAGTTCTCCTACATCACCTCCTGTGTTACCACCGCTACCACTACCACCACCACCATCACCACCACCACCACCACCACCACCACCATTTCCTCAACCACATCCGTCCTCACTTTATGTGAATGAAGAAATATTGTCTTCTCTATCATTAGAAATGGAACATAATAACAACAAAAGCCTTAGAAGTGCAATACAGAGGTAACTAAAAATATAATTATATTGTTTGTATTGTTTAATAATATCTATAATCTTGTATGTTTTTATAGATCTCGTACAGTCAGTAATTCTATATCTGATAATGGTTCAGCATCATTAGAACTGACATCTATATACAAAAGTTCAGAAGTCACTTCTCAAATTAAATCACCACTCTCAGTAGCAACTTATATGAATGTAGACATTAATACTGATATTGGTCCACTTTCTCCAAGTCATAGTATTTCTGAAGCAATGCAGTTTAAAGAAGATAAAAACGAAAACAGTGAATCTGGACATGCCTACATAAATATAAGTCCTGGTCAAGAATATCCAGAATTTCTTGGTGCCAAATCACGACCATCACCATTGTTGTCTATTCAATCTGATGTAGAAGAAACAACAAGACATTGTTATGCTAATTTAGAACCAAGTGAAATTGAAAATTTAAGAAAAAGATTTTCTGGAGTATCTGGTCCAGAGAAATCACCTCTACCTCCATCAACACCACCAAGTGGTTCAGGTAAAGAAGTAAATTATGCTGTATTAGATCTGGATACAAAGGATGTACCAATGAATTCACCATTAGATGGTCCTTCAAATTCTACTACATCTCCTCCAGAATCTCCAAATAAGATACAAAAGGGGTATACTACAATAGATTTTAATAAAACAGCTGCTCTTTCTCATTCAGTCAACCCAAATCTTGTAAATGATAATGAAGGTTCGAGGAAAACACGTCACAATTCTACAATTAGTGATTTAGCAGCCTCTGGTAGACGTAGTTCATCTATAAGTGAATAATACATTTTTTGTTTCCTGACTGTGCCTACATAATAAATATTTGTAGCATTTTATAAAAAATATGAAATAATACGCTTTTCTTTTTTATTGAATTCTAATATTGAATACTATAAAACCAAAGAAGGAATATTAAATTAGTTTGTATAGTTTTTGTACACTTATTTTGTACAATATTAAACAAATGAAATTTTTTAGTGCGTAAAAATACAACACATTTAATTAAAAAATCGTATCTCACGATTTTTTCTACAATTTATTATTCATTTGGTAGCATTTAGTTATGTATAACGTACACAAAGGACATCACAGTATTTTTAAAGAATAAGTCATTTTCCAAGTGCTATTAGTATGCACAAAGGAAAAAATCTCTTTTATATGTATGATATACAAATGTGTTTATAAAACATTGTATGTAAAATGATTTTTCAAATTGACTATTGTAGGGGGATTGGAAGCAGGAGTGCTCTAATTTTCCTGTATCATAGGAATTGATGAGGCTCAAATAGAGTAACTGAAATGAGAGTTTATGACGTGATAATATAACAGAATGATGATAAAAGAATATATCATTTTAAATGGCTACTTTTAAAGTAGTCAATTAAAATTTAACTATGGCCATAATTTGGAGTGATTTTGATATAAATGATAGATATTTACAGTAAAACATTGCATATATGTGTGTATATATATACATATTATACAGCACAGGTATTATACAGGGTGGTTGGTAACTGGTGGTACAAGCGGAAAGGGGGTGATTCTACGCGAAAAAAGAAGTCGAAAATATAGAATAAAAAATTTTTTTTTTAATTTTTCCATCGAGACAACGATCTACAGTGAGATTCGTTATAAGGAGACGTGATAAAGTGCACGCGTACCGAGCGAAAATTCAAAGTCGATTTTCTCGAAAACAAAGCCTCAAAGGAAAAATTTTTATTCTATATTTTCGACTTCTTTTTTCG